ACATCAGTAATAATAAAATATTTTGCCAGTATCTCCACAAACTTCCACAAGGACAATGGATGTTGTCGTCTTATTTTATTAACACCAATTTTTCCAGAAATGGCAATGTCAATTCACAAATGAATAATTTCAGATTTTTTAAAACTGCAATAATAGTTGTATTAAGTGGTCTTCCTTGTATGCACATGGATTTAATTCTTCTTCTGACAGTTCTAGACTTCAGAGAAGACCTTTTGTAAATGGTGTCAACAGTCTTTTCTGTAGTAAGAGGAAGTGAACATAGGGGGCTACAGCTGCTTCTGAGGTGGCACTGAGGGTCTAAGTCACTGTCCTAGGAGAAACTTCAGGATAGATTTTAAAGTGTTCTTTTTGACAGTGAATAAGACAGCATTACCTTTCATTTATGAGTATATTTGAGTCAGAACTGACTCATAGCTGACTCTCCAGTGGGTTTTTGGAGGCAGTAAATCACAGGAGAAAATCATCTTTCTCCCACAGAGCAGCTGGTGCATTCGAAACTCATACCTTTAGGATGGCAGCAAAATTCCCCACCACCAAGCCACCGTATGAATGATCCGATTTAAAATTACCATTATCACAGCTCGCTCACATGTCCCATTGCTTTTTTTTACAACTTCAATTTTAAATATATTATTTCATACAATTAATGGATGTTTGCAGCTGTTTCTCCTTATTTTAAGTTATGCCACACCAGCAAATGTAGGTTTCAAAAATAGTGGGTAAAGAGCTGTGCTGCCAACCCAAAGTTACACGGTGTGAATCCACCAGCTGCTCCAAAGGAGAAAGATGGGCCATCTTTTCCTGTGCTGTTTACAGCCTCCGAAAGCCTGCTGGGGGCTCAGCTATAAGTCAGCACAATGTGGTCAGCAGAGAGCAGCCCTGCTGGCTGCCAGTGTTCCCACCAACAGCAATGACTTGACTGTTTTCAGGAGGCAGCTCCTCTCTAGGCATTTTTTAGTGTCTTCCAACCTGACGAGAGTTTACCTCCCAATATTATATAATTATATCAATATTATATTATTGTCCAGCTGCTATTCATAGTTCTTTTCTTTGGCTAATTTTTTTAAAGTGAGGCCTTCCCCCGCCCCCTCGTCTGTCTTAGTTTGGAAGCTTCCCTGAAACCTGACAAACTAAGAGAGGAGTGATATGTTGTTGTTATTGTCATTGTCCTCATTAATAAGGACCCATAAGTACGACTCATAACAACCCCTTTGAACAACAGACCTAACCCTAATCTTTCCTGCACCATCCTTATTCTCTCTAATGTTCTTGAGCCCATTGCCAGAGTCTCTTGTTGAGGGTGGTCCTCACTTTTGCCAGGCCCTCCACCTTTCCAAGCATCATGTCCCTTTCCAAGGAATATCCCATTCTACGTGTCTAAACTATATGTAGGACGAAGCTTCACAATCCTTGCCTCTAAAGACCACTCTGGGTACACTTTCTCCAGGACGCATCTATTCTTTTTGTAGCCCGTGGGATGTTCAGTACACAGTACTCATCCTTTAGAAGAAGTACTCCATCCACACGCGTCTGCATGCCTCTGCCCATTCTCTGGTGGCTCAATGAGCTTGGTGGAAAGAGGATTCAGAGGTCACCGCCCCCACACACATCCTCCTTTTCTGCTGGTATGCAACCAGCAGAGCTATCTCATTTTCATTATCTCCTGTCTCTTAAAGCCGGCTCTTCCTTTCCCGTGATCCTTAGAGCCAATCAGTTGCACCTCTCCCTATGGCCACGCCTTACCAATCCCGGGGTCCCTGCATTCCTTACTGTATCTCCACTTGTGCTAGTAGTCCTTAGTCTCCCTCTCCTTCTTCCACCTATTTCAGGAAATTGGGCCGGAGAGGGGGGAAGCATATTTTCTGCATGTAAAGACATTTTTAAAAATAATATTTTTTAAAAAACCCTTTCTAAATCCATTGCCAATGAGTCACAGGATAGAGTAAACTACACCTCAGGGTTCCCAAAGCTGTAATCTGGATTGCAGCAGATAACCATTTCTTTTCGCATGGAGCAGACTGGAACTACTATTTTTGTTAGCATCCAAGTGCTTTAACCTCTGTGCACCTAGAGACCTTTCCTACCTCCCTCTGGACAAATCACTCTGAGACATGAAGATGTTGTTTTCTCATTTGCAAAATAGAAGTGTTCCATGGATTTTAAAACTGTAGGTGACAGGTCCAACATTGCATGTGGAAGAGAGTCTTAGCCCCCACCGACGTCAGCACGATGTGGTGGAGAACTGGGGGCACTAAGATCAACTAACTGGGTAACGAACTAACCCTTGGAGGACACACTCCTGCTGTCCTAGTACAAAAACCCACAGCTGACAGGCGTTCCAATGGAGACACTCCATCAGGTTTGAGGCTACTGACTTCTATGGGAAACGACAGTCCAGTTTTCTCCCATGAAACAGGTGGCAGATTTGAAATGCTAACCTTTTGGTTTCCAGCCCAACGTGATGTACTATGGGAGAACTGTTTAATACCTGGTGAGTTACAAGCTCTGGTGGCACAGTGGTTAAACTGCTAACCAAAAAGTCAAGTTTTTAAAACTCACCAGCTGCTCCGCGGAAGAAAGGTGTGGCAATCCACTCGTAATTCGTACCGCCTTGGAAGCCTCGTGGGGCAAGTCCACTCTGTTCTACAGGATTGTTAAAGGGTTGCTATGAGTCAGAACCAACTCTACAGCACACAACCAAAATTACATGGTTGGTCAGCGCAAAAGAGGGGAGACCCTGAACAAGACGGATCAGCACAGTGGACACAACAATGGGTTCAGCATAAGAACAGACGTGAGGATGGCGCAGGGCCAGCTGGTGTTTTGTTCTGTACACACAGGCCGGCTGTGCGTCGGACTGACGCTGCAGCATCAAACAAAGCACTCCACCACTAGCAGAAAGGCTGGTGCCTCGGAAGACAGGTCTGGCAAGTGGCTTCTCAAGGATCACAGCCACAGGGACTGTGCAGAGCTCAGTTCTACTCTCAAGCACAGGGGCATCGAGTCAGAGCCCACTCTGAGCAACTGGTTCATTTTGCACTAACGTTATAGGGAGAGCAGTGATCGAGGGTCTGGGCTCTCAGCCTGGATTCCAGTTCTGCCACTGACATTTCTCACCATGTGACCTTGCGTGAATTGCTTCAGACCAGCCATCTATAAAGTGAAGGCATCATCTCCGTCACAGGCTGAAGGTTCACAGTGGTGAAGATTCAGCGCATTAATTTATGTAAAGCACTTACCAGAGCCTCCATCGCAAGGATTTCATGTTAATGCATTGACAGTGGCTGGAACAATGGGCTTGAGCATGGTAGAGATCATGAGTATGGCACAAGAGGAGGCCAAGTTTTTGTTATTCATGGGGTCACTAAGTTGTAATTGACTAAACAGCACCCACCAACACATTCACGTGAACCAATTCTCCTTCTCCTGGGGCCCAGGAGTGAAGGAAACACCATGAGGTAAATCCAAGGGTTCAAAGATCAAAATCAGGAAAGCCCAGTTCTGAGGCTCCACCACCCTAGAAGTGTGTGCAAGGCCAGATATAAGCACACGAAGATAGAGACGGAGAGCTGGGAGCCAGTGTAGCAGGATCCAGAAGGGAGGCTGAAGGCAGTGGGCCCTGCCCTTTGCCCAGGTCCAGCTGAGGGAATCTCTGAACCCAGGCTGGCAGGCTCAGCCAATGAGGAAGAGAATATAGGCATTGAACAAGTTTATTCATGAGAAGACTTAGGGTCAGTCTGAAAGATCTACTGGTTACAAGCTCCAGAAGCTCTTGTCATAACAGATGTGAGGGCCAGGGCACCCCTAGGCAGGGGGCTTGGGGTCCAGCAGTCACCCTGGGAACAGAAGAGCAGACACAGGCAGTTCTGGGTACCAGCTACTACGAGCCTGTTTCTGGGCCAGCTAGCCCTTCCTCCAGGTCCCCACGTCCCCTTGAGGGTTAAAGTGCAGCTGGGGGAAGGGTGGGCAGAGGTGGGTCACCACAGAGAGAGCCCCAATGGACACTGACCACCCTCAAAGGCCCACTTTTCTCCTTTTCTCTGGGGATTTTAGAATTTCAGCCAATCTGCTCTCCCAGAACAGCAGGCAAAGCCCCTCCTTGGAACCTCTGGCTAAGGAGGTCCCCCACATCCTCAGTCAATTATTTAGAAAAAGCTCTCCCCAAGGGTGTGAGGCCGGCCCAATCAGCTCTCTGGGGGACCTACAACCTGGAGAGCAGAGGAAAAAGCAAAGATCTCTAAGAGGGAGGGGTGTTCCTTGATGATAGTTTGGGGGCTCATCCCCCTCCTCATACCCTCACCGCCCCCTCTCCTACTAGCAGGTAAGGTAAGGAAGCCACAGAGGCCCAGAAAGCTTTGCTTGAAGCTCTGGTCTCAAGAGTCAACAACAGGGTCCTGCCCAGGCCTGACTCAAAAATCACTCCACTGAGGAAGAATTACTTCAGTGTCACTGGGGGATTCCTTTGGGGCACCTGTAAGGTGGACCTTCCTGCTTCTACCAATGGGCTCCCTACTAAGGACCCAGCCTCCCCTAAAGTCTGCTGCTTCTGGCATGTCCTCCTTCTGTTCCAGGGACCAACTCCACCATCGGTGCCCCCAGGGGCCCTGCCCCACCACTGGCAGTGGGGTATTGGCCAGGTGCTCCCCATCTTGGATGGCCTCACCCCCATCTAAGCAGCTTTGCCAATATTTACCCCCTGCCATGGGTATATCTGAGAAGGCAGAAAGGAAGTGGAATCCCTCCCAAAAAAGGGATCTGAAGACCTCAACTTCCTCCCCTCATTCTTAATATATTAAAATGTGCAGCTTGGCTCCCACCCTCGGCTCCAGATCACCATGGCAACAGGGCAACATTCCAAGTCCAAGTCTGCATTCGAGTCCATCTGGTGCCAGAGGGGGGCTTTGGCCTCCCCCCAACTCTTCCCCAGAGGGTGAGACCCAACATTCCACAGGGGATGAGAGGGGAGGAAAGTCAGGGCTTCAGTCCTCAGCCCCGTCCTCTTCCGTGTGGGGGACCCCTGGGGGGTCCTCGGGCTCAGAGATCTGCCCACCAGAATGGGGGTGAGGGTGGGAGTGAGGGTGACGGTGAGCATGAGGGTGGGTGTGGGGGTGCGCGCCAGGCTGGGTGCCCGGCCCATCCTCGCCCTGCACGTAGACACTCAGGCCCTCGTGGCTGGGCTCCTTGCCACACGCCTGGCAGCTGCAGCGCAGAATCTTCTCCACCAGCTTGTCCACTCGAGGCACTTCCTCATGGCCAGGGCACTCCAGGGTCACCTGGGAGCAGGACAGAGAAGAGAAGGGTTAGGGCAGGAAGATCCTAAAGGGAGGAGCACCTCATGGGATCAAGTACCCCACAGCTCATCCAATGGGGTACTTGGACCCAGTTAACTCTGTGGGTCCATTCGGAGTTGGGAAAGATGGGGCAGAGTCCCTGCAGAAGCCACCTGACCTGTCCCCTTCAAGTCCACTCCTGCCACTTTCCCACTCACCCCAAACAGCAGCCAGAGGCTACCCCCAGGGAAAAATCCAACTGTGACCTACTATTTCTGCTGCTTAAAAGGCCCGTCTATGCTTCCAACTGCACACAGGAGAAAAATCCTGAGTCCTTCTTAAGGCCACCTAGGGACTTTCAGGCGACCCCTGGTCAACTTTTCATCCTTAACCTTACACCACAAACTAACCCCACTCCATCTAATTCTTTCCCTCTGCCTGGAAGGTTCTCACTCAAACCTCGCTGCCCCCGCTGCCTGCCCTAAATTTTGTCCAGTTAACCTCTTCTCAACCTTATATCTGAAACCAGGCTTCACTGTCTCAAAAGTGTCCCATCGCAGGACCCTAACTGATGTTTTATTTTGTATAAACTCCTTAAAACTTTGTTTTTATTATGTGCTGTCAAGCCTTGTATGACTTACAGGGACCCTATAAACAACAGATCTGAACCCTGTCCAGTCCAGCACTATCCTTATCATCTCACATATCTGAGCCCGCTGCTGCCGTCACTGCGTCAGTCCAACTGGTTGAAGGTCTTCCTTTCTTTTGCTGATCTTTCACCTTCGTCACATGATGGCCCTTTCCAAGAAACACCCTTTTCTAGCCACATGCCCAAAGTGTGTGCGACAAATCTTCACCATCCTTGCCTCCAAGAAGCACCCCAGCTGTACCTTCTTCAAGACATAGTTTGTTCTTCTGGCAGTCCATGGACCATTCAGTACTCTTCTCCAGCACCATAACTCAAAGGACTTGATTTTTCTTTTGCCATCTGTATTCACTGTCTAGCTTTCATAGGCATAGCAAGTGACTGGAAAGACTATGAATCAGATTGACTTTAATCTTCAAACTGACATCACGGAGATGTCTCTGACAGTAAACTTTCCCAATACATCTTTTGATTTCTTGACTACTGGTGCTGGTACCAAGGGTGTTGATTGTGGATCCAAGTAAGAGGAAGTCATTGACAATTTCAGTCTTTATCTATCATGATGTTGCCTAAGGACCCTCTTAGGAGGAAGACCAAGGTCAGGCAGGCTCTAGACAGAGAGGTAAGTGGGATGGATGGTACTCACAATTTCCCACATGGACTGGGACGGCATACAGGAGTCACAGTGCACCAGGGACTCTGTGGACTGTGGGAAGGTGTTGGGGACACTGTAGCTGAAGCACTGTCCCAGGCATGCCCTGTGGGAGAAGAGGCCACCATAACTGAGTCACTGTGCGGAGGGCAAGGATGGACAGCCCGCTCCTCTTCCTCCCTGCTGAGCCCCTGTCCTCTCACCGTCAGCTGAAGACCCCACCTGTTCTGGATGGACTTGGACTCACAGCCGCTGTGGCCAACGATCTGGGTGATGTTCTTGGCCTCGCACCATGCGCTCTTATCTGGAAACAGGGCCAGCTTGTTGATAGGTGGCGGGGCAGCCAGCAGCATGGTGGGGAGGACAGCCCCCACCAGAACCCGAAGCATCATTCCCGTGGCCTCCAGAGTCCTAGAACTGAGCACAGGCAGCAGAGATTCTCACCAGTTGGGCCAATTGGCAACATCATGATAGATGGAGAAGAAATTGAGATTGTTAACAATTTCTGCTTGCTCGGGTCCACAGTCAACACTCTTGGCACCAGCAACCAGGAAATCAAAAGACAAACTGCATTAGGAAAGCCTGCTGTCAGAGACCTCTCCAGAGTGTTGAAGAGGAACGATGTCAGTCTAGATACTAAGGTGCACCTGATCCAGGCCATGGTCTTCTCAATTGTTTGCTATACATCAAAGAGGTGAATAATGACTAAAGATTACAGAAGAATCATTGATGCCTTTGAGTTGTGGTGCTGGAGAAGAGTACTGAACATATCATGGACTGCCAAGAGAACAAATAGGCCTATCCTGGAGAGGGTGAAACAGGCTGCTCCTTGGAGGTTAGGATTTTGAAACTCCGTCTCACATACTTTGGGCATGTGGACAGAAGGGACCAGTCCTTGGAGAAGGACATGATGCTTGGAAGGGTGAATGGACAACACAGAAGAGGATAATGGATCAGATGAATTGACACAGTGACTGTGGCAATGGGGTCAAATGTGTCAGAGGCGGTGAAATTGGCTCAGGTTAGGGCAGGGTTCAGAGCTATTGTTCATAGGGTCGCAAGTTCATAGGGAGTAGTATTTGACTAGATGGCACGTAACAACAACACAACAACAACATGAAGATTTAACAAAGTATTACACGAAAACCTCTCACGGCCCAGAACACCCTCCTTTGTTAGCTGGTTGTCACTTTGATGACTAAGGTGCACCTGACCCACGACATGGCATTTTCAACTGCCTTATGTGCACGTGGAAACTAGACAGGGAAAAAGAAGAACTGATACCTTCGAGCTATGATGCCAGAAAAGGTTACTGAACATACCATTGACTGCCAGTAGAACAAACAAATCAATCTTAGAAGAAATACATTCAGATTTTCTTTGGATGGTGAGACCATGGCATACTTACATCAAAAGGAAAAATCAATTGCTAGAAAAGGACAGCAGTGTTGATACAGCAGTGAGTCAGCAAAACCAAGGAAAATCCTCAGTGGCATGGCCCCACACTGTCAATGACAACAGCCAAAGCCCTAGGTCTGAACACAGCAACAATCATAAAGCTAGCCAGGAACCAGGCTTTTCATTCTGCTTTCCATGGGCTAGGATGGGATGCACTGGAGCCAACTTGATACCAACGAACAACAAGAAAACAGAATTTCTATCTCTCTCTGCCCCTCAGTTTCTTTATCTAAGATAACCTCGCTCATTGCTGTCAAGCTATAACACTCTAGCAGGTTTTCACAGGCTGTGAATGACCTGGGAGGAGACAGCCCACCTTTCTCCTATAGATCCAGTGGTGTATTTGAACTGTGTGCCGCTGGAGTGGTAACACAACTCCTTACCACTAGGTCATGAGGTACCTCCAAAGTTTTAATGAAGCTGTTTGGTGGTGTTGAGTATAACTCAGAGTGACCCTATGAAAAGAGACCTGAACTCTCCTGTCCTATCGTGTGCCATCCTCACCATCTTCAGCACACCTGAGCCTACGGCTGCAGTCCCTGAGCCAATCCAGCTTGTTGAGGGTCTTCCTCTCTTTCGCTACCCCTACACCTTTCCTTGTTTGATGCCCCTTTCCAAGGAACAGCCTCTCCTAACAACACGCTTCCCAAGTATGAGAGATGAAGCTTTGCCATCTTTGCTTCTAAGGAGCACTTAGGCTGCACTTTTTCCAAGACACATCTGTTTTTTTTTTCTTTTGGCAGTCCATGGGATATCTAGTACTCTTCTCCAACACACCACAGTTCAAAGGCATCAATTTTTCTTCCATCATCCTTACTCAGTGTCCAGCTTTCAATGGTATAGCAAGTGATTGAAAAGATCATGGCCTGAATCAGGCATTCCTTAGTCTTCAAACTGACATCATTACTCTTCAGTAATTTGGAGATAATCCCTGACAGGAGTCTTAGCCAGTGCAATACATCTCCTGATCTCCTGACTGCTGGTACCAAGATTGTTGAGCATCTCTTAACGTTGGAGCTCCTCCAGGGATCAAAAGGGAAAAAAAATCCACCCAAACCTACCTCCTCAAGGTCTACTCTCAAGGGCTGCCTCCAGCATGTCTGGGACAAAACACTGTCAGTCCAGCATCCTATTTCCACATTGCAGCAAATACTTGGCTAGCTGGATCTCAGATGAAAAAGCTAGTAAGACTAGGTTATAATTTTCCTAGAATCTTCCATCAGAGCCCACTCAATTGGGCTCTACACAGCTACATCAGTATCTTCTCCCCTACATACCTCTATCAGTCCTATCCCACCCTGAGCCAAGTACTATAAATGTCACGCTACAGAGAAATGAAGCAAGGCAATACTATAATGGGCCAGAAGATGGCACTGCAGGGACAAGTCTATAGCTAAGAGAATCCATTCAGAGGACATCTCTCAATACTCTTCATCTTCTACAGGTTTCTCTCATTCCTCCTCCTCAAAAACTCTGGATATTTGGAAATGAGGGCAATGCCAGCAAGTGGGTTCAATTCTGCAGACAGGACACTAGGCATGGAACTGGGAGTTGAAGTCAGCTGCCTCCTGAACTCTGCTGCTGGAGTGCAGTGACCCTCCATCCTTGGACCACGGTGTTCCCCGTCTATGAAGTGTCTGGGCTACTTTGGGCACGTGGCCTGGAGGGACTGGTCCTTGGATAAGGACATCAAGCTTGAAAGGGTGGAGGGACAGCGCAGAAGAGGAATTCCCAGGATGAGATGGATTGATACAGTAACTGGGGCAATGGACATAGTTGTGTCGGAGTCAATGAGACTGGCTCAGGGCAGGGCGGGCTTCAGAGCTGCTATACATAGATAGGGTCACTATGACTCACAGGTGACAAAGCAACAATAACACAACTAGACTAGCTGTTTCCAAACCAGGCTCAAGAATCATCAGCATGAACTGAGGACTTACAGAGTAAAGGTTCTAGAATAGGCTGGAAATCTGGATTTTTAACATGCTTTCTCAGGTGGTCCTACCGTTTAACCCACTAGATGAGAAGATCAAGGGAGACACTACAGTTCAGGCTGAGATTCTGTGTCTCTGGAGGGTCCAAAAGGGACTCTGGTGAGGCTGAATCTGGAGAATGGAGCTGAGGATCCTCCAGAAACCCAGCCTTAGAGTGGGGTTGGGGAAGGCAGGCGCTTGGTAAAGCGGGGGGAAGAGAGGAGGGCTGGCATCTCAGGGAGGGTGAAGCCAGCTGACAAGGCTGAGGCCTCCACAGCTTCTCTCCATCAGCTCCTGTACCTTCTCCCTGTGCAGCAGACCTCCAAGAAGCCAAAATGTCCAATCTTACTCGATTCCAGTGGTCTGATGACTCCTGCTGCCAGCCTGGCGAGAAGCAGTGGAATCGGGAGAGCAGCTGATGGTGGTCAGACAAGGCTCCCCTCTCAAATCGCCTACAGCATGGCCTAGGCTCACTCATGTACTTCCAGACTTGCTCACAAAATGGACAGCACAGACCATGTTTTCTAACTGAACTACATTCTAATAAATCAGAATGTGTTCCTTTTCATTTTGTTTTGCTTTAAATCTTTGTTGTTGCTGTAAATATATATGATGCAAATTTGCCAACTGAACGTTTTTCATGAACATTGTAGGGACGCAATTACACTAATCAAGTTGTGCAACCATCACCAACAACCACTGCCAGATTTCCTAGAACAGGTTTGTTAACTGGCAAACTAACTAATCTGTCAACAAACTCAACATCCAATAGGCTTTCGCAGTCTAACAAGTTCTCTGCAGGGTCTAAATAAATGAAAACTGCACTTCAGAAAACGAGCCTGGAGTCTGACTCCATGCCAGGAATCTCCAGGCCCTCCTCGTGCACTGGCTCCCATGGATCCCAGAGTTCTGGGTCTTTGGCCCTATACTTGAACCCACCACCTTTCCTTGGAAAGAAGAGCCCAGGCTGGGCAAGAGGGGCAACCACGGCAGGCGTGGCAGTAAGGTTACAGAGGATGAGCAATGGAGATTGGGATTGGTAATAAGATGATCTTTTGAGTCTGATGAGGTGTTGGGATTAGGATTAGAAGAGAGATTAGCTCTCAGGCTACACAGGTTAGGATTAGGTTGAAGTTGCAATGAGATTAGGGCCAAAATTTATAATAAGTCTTATCAGGAAATAGAATAATGGATTTTTAGAAGAGTTGCTGACCTACGAGTTGGTAACCGTTTATTATGATGACGATCAGAATTTAGAAGAATGAGGCAAACTGAGGCAGGAAGTCACCTCCATTGTCATCCTCCATCTCTAGCAAAGTTACAGCTGAAACGTAAGCTGTTAGGGCCACCAGTGACCAGAGAGGGCTACGATTCAACCCATCCAGCCAGGCCTCTCCTCAAGGTCAGGCCTTAAAGGAGGGGGCTGGCTCCCCCAGGCCATAGACGCCCCCGAGGGTCCCTACACTTGAACCCTGCCCCTCCCACATCAGAGGTGCAACTTCTGGAAAGTCAGCCCACCTTTTGGAATCGATCTTCACCAACTCTGAAATGGGGAGCACCTTTCAACAATGACTAGACAGACTACTGAAGCACTGAGCACACCCAGCAGACACCTACCTTCGGCCAGTTCTCTTCCCCATGGGAGCCCTGAGGAACCTGCTGGTCTGGGAGCTGGAGGTCCCAGGCTAGGCAGACAGCACAGCAGAGACAGGCGTGCTGGGGTGGGTGCCAAGAAAGGTGCTGTTACACACTTGTGTTCAGAGCACATGTACCCCCTCTCCACAGAACCCACATCATAGTGGGCTCTTTGCTAACAGGTTTTCTGGTTTTGTTGCTTTATATTGAAAGGACCTTGTAGTGTAGTGGATTAAGTACTGGCTGTTAAAAAGTCAACAGTTCTAATCCACTAGCCACTCTAGAGAAGAAAAATTTGCACTCTCCAGCTATGATGATCTGAAGCCCAGTGGAGG